TTCCGGAGCGCTCCTTGTCCTCAGTGTCGAAATCGCCATTTCTAAAGCGTTTAAACCAATCTTCACAAGTAGTTTTCGATTGTGCATGTTCGCCGTAGGCTTTCTCAAGCAAACGGCGTGCTTCAGCTGCATTTTCTTTCAAGTTGAAGCAGAAAAGCAAAGCTTCCCGCAAATGCTGTTTATTTGGCACAAAACTCGACATCTTTATTGTTAGAAAAAATATTTTTGCGTTGCAATATGTGTTGGTATTATGACTGGTTATTGTTGACAGATGTCCAAGTTAATAAAAAAACACAACTTTAGACATGTATATCGACTACATGTATCGTTAGCGCCATTCATGTGTGAAACCCGGAAACTTAGTTGCGCACCTAGTATACCAGTGATGTAATGTTTCCTACCGGGCTCGGGAGCCGGGAGCCCGGTAGGAAACATCACATCACTGAGTATACTTTAAACCAAAATATATTGTTAGTATTTTACAAAAACCACACCTATCCGAACTTGTTTTTTAACTACAAAGTTGTGTTAACCTAACAAAACGATATAGTAAAGTTAACAAGAAATTCTGGTAGAGTTTTGTAAATCTAACAACACCATGTGGTAAGGTTTACAAGAAATTCTGGTAGAGTTTTGTAAATCTAACAACACGATGTAGTAAGGTTTACAAGAAATTCTGATAGATTTAAACAGGATGAAATTTAACAGAATCTTCTGGTAATTCCAACAACAAATTTGTTTCGTCCATTTTTGAACAAACGTACTAGTAGAATCAACCAGAATTTCTTATAATACAACAAAACTTTTTTTCCAGTGATATAATTCGAGATAATTAGAATAAAATATTTGATATCGATGCTGATATATCAAGATAGATCTAATATTTATTATAATCATATGTATTTACGCACAAAATAACTTAACGATAAAATATGAAATTACAATCATCGCGGTTTAATTGAAATCTATGCATCTGCAAATAACGCGTATTAAAGCTTTATGTTTCATAATCTGTGTTTTTTTTTAAGGAGTTCTGTCAAGCGCGATTTATTATTCTTTATAACGATCCTGAAGCCGGGCTTTTCTCGGCGTAATTAGAAAATGATTAACCACGTTTAAACGCGGGCTTACCTTAAATAAAATACGACGCATAACTTTCATCGTGTGCCGCTCAAACGCGTTACTGTGGTAATATCCGGTTACAGACGCGTTCAATTCGCGCGCTTTGCGAAGACTTCCACTCGAGTTAAATTAATTTACTATATTCGACACTGACGACGATCAATATTAAAACGAAGTTACATGTCGATATTTCAAATTTCTTTTATCTTATGTAAATTAATATTTCTATATGTTCTTTTCTATATATGTATATTCCCTTCTATCACATAAAACTGTTTTGTTCTATTTTTCCATCTATCATTTAGTAAACTAAGAGAAAAATCATATAAATTTTCTTGTTGTAAAAATCGAGCCGATTGCAACTACGGTCAATATTCGACGCGATGTTAACAATTATTCGTTGCTATATCGATCTTTAATCGCGTAAATATATTTAATCGTAAATATATTTAATCGATCCTATCGTTGTCTTTTATTGGATTATAGGAGCAGTGCTGTGGGAGAACCACGCGCGCGCCGAATCTGGGAATATCGTTGTTTCGTCGGTTTAAGCACTTTCCACGAGAAGCGATATGGATTTCCGATACGAAACTTTTCTATCCGTTCCCAGACGAATAGAAAAGAACCCGCCAAATTTACCGACCATACACTGCCATCGCGTTTATTGCTATCGGCCACACATTTAAAAATATTTTATGCCCCGGGTCAATACGCGTGCCCGTTCAACCCCCTTCAGTCACGTCGATCCCATTTGCATCGCAGTAACTTGTATGCAAATTTGCTTTTATGCGCTCTTTAACCCTTGCCTTCGGTCTAAAACCGCGTGTTTTTAGTCCACGTTCTCATTAAAGCTCAAAAATATAATTTTCCACATTTTTCGCTCGGATAACGGAGATAATAATTATTAAAATTCGCTTTCTTGTTCTATCTTTAAAAATATTTCGATATAGGAAAATAATATTACAGAGAGAAAACTGGAAAAGAGAAATATCTTCAGACCTGCCTTTACGACCAAGAGAAAAGAATTTCTTTATACATAAAAATGATATCGAAAAAATTAATAAAAGATAAAAAAAATTTAACTCTAATAAAAAGTAAAAACATTTCATAGGTAAAATTAATATGAAATTTACTGTTGTGAATTCATTGTCGCCATAAAGAAATTCAATTCAAATTGATCGCTGTTCAATCAATCGAAGATTGGCTGATTGGTCGTTATTGCTATATACACATGTAATAACACGTTAGAAAATGACAGCTTGTTAAAACATTAGCCATATGCAACTCGTTGGGATTTCTATATTTAATCGTAACTAACCATCCTACGAAGATTTATGAAGCATGTCCTCGAAACGTGGACAACGATAACAAATCGCGATAACAGCAGGCACTCGATTGCATGTATTGCGAATGATTCAACCGTCATGTATAATTACTATGCAACATATGTTGCTTTGTTGATATTGCTTAATATTCAAAATATATATCAAAATCAGGTAATTTATTATTTAATCTTAATTTTCAGTAATTTATGATAAATAAAAATACTGCATAAATATAATATCTAATAATCGAAAAGTAAAAAAAAATTAAGCAAACAATTAGTTTTTTAAAATAATTGTGCTTATTATAAAAATTAATTTTTAAATAATAATTAGTGCTTGTGATGTGTAAATGAAGTACATATACTACAAATAATTAAAGAAAATGTCTTCTTCTAGCCAAAATACATCTTTTATGGAAATTTCCACTTGTCACTTTTATTGTGTATTATTAGTAATTAAAACATGACTGTGCAAGATTGGAGCACATTTAATATTAAATTTAATAGTACATATAAAAAATGAAACCGCGTATATGTCCCTCGAGACGTATTTTTCATGTAAATTTGCTTCTGACGCGCGAAGGAAAAATGCATTATTTATCTATACGTTCGTGAATGATGTCCTCCGGGGGTGTTTTGTATATACTTGAATTTCGCGAAGCTCTCAAAATTGCGACCTTGCGCGTCCCGTTCCATCCTACTTCTTCGCGGACATTTATCCCTCGAAATAGAATAAGGCTCGGTGTCGTAGCCGGCAGCATAACGAGTTTGCACGCCGTGGAAAATCATGGTAGATGTCACGCGAAATATCGTTTTCCTACAGGAAAAGTAATTTATGTGGATGCGACGGAAATGCAAAACCATACGCGTGGAAAAGAATAATTTCGGTGCAATATTGCCAATCTAAATATTGACATTTTCGTATCATTTTTTCTGATTTGACATTTTTTCTCAATTATTAGAGGTGACATTAATTTCACGATTCTGGAACACACGAATTAATTTTGCATATTTTTGTGAAGAATGTGTGAAGAATTTTATAATACTTATATTGAATTGCAATGCACAATTATTAACTGCCAGCATTATCGAAGATAAAATAATGCAGTTTATATTTTCTCTCTGGCACGCACATTTTTCTTTAGATAGATTGCAGCAAGATTGGAATGCGTCGTTGTACAAAGGTATTTCATGAATGGCTGAGGGCAATCTTCCATCCGCGGAAATAAAAACATTTTTGTTGAACTGCTATAACGAAGCACACGAACTCGTTATCTCGATGAACACAAAACTCACGAAAAAAAAATTTGGCACTCTTTGCCGTAGAAATTACGAGGACCAATAGAAAAATTGTAAAAAAAAAAGTTCACGATCGATTATTATAACTTATGCGTATTAATTTAATATTTTAATATTTTAGCGTATTCCAGCAAGCATTAACATATTTCGAATTTCTTTGTATTAAATAAAATCGATAATTGTATTTCTATATGTATTAAATATTCATATAATGTATATCGTCATATGAAAAAGAAAAAAATAAATATCCTATATGCTCGAGGAATCAAACAGATAAAGACTGAAACAGTTTGCATATCTTTTTTTTTTAGAAATCGATACCTTTCCTCGTAGATCCCGATATTAGATAACGTGAAGCTTAAAATTCAAGAGATGTCATTCGATTTTGTCTCTAGGGTCGTTTTTCAATCAGTGAAAAATAAAAAGTATTGTGAAGGCTCGCAGAATTTATCAGATATTTTAAAGGAATTGGAGAATGAATTTTTATACACGAGATTGAAACGTCAAACGGGACTTGTCAAATGCGTTTAGAAAGTATTGGAGCGGAAAAAATCTATTTGGTTCTCTAGAGAGTTTGAATCTTATGGTTTCTTATAATATAGACAAAGTCAATGTTGATAAAAAATATTCAGTACTTTAAAATCCAAAAATTCCTTGCTTCAATTTCTCGCATCTTTTGAACCTTTGAACGAAAATTCTTCACTTTTTCAATTCCTATTTTTTCCAAGAGTCAGAAAAATTGATTTGCTGTTTTATCTTTAACAAGCATTTGCGCATTTTAAACTAAAATAAATTAATAATATTTTCCTAAGTTTTATTATTTAATCACGCCTTCTTTGAATTTCTATTATAGCGTATAAATTAGATTAAGATATTCTTAACTTTTTAAATTCTTTTAATGTCCTGCATTATACCTATTATATGTTTCTAGGTTGTTCGAGGAGAACGCAGAATTGTTAAACATGTTCACGAAATTCCGGGAGCTGAAAACGAAAGAACAACAATCAACGAGCATGGAATTGGCCGAACACGCGAAAACGGTCATGTCCACTCTTGACGAAGGGATCAAGAGTCTAGACGATATGGACGCGTTCCTGACGTATCTACACGAGGTCGGGGCCTCCCACACAAAGATCCCCGGCTTCAACCGGCAATACTTTTGGGTAAGCCTGTCTAAAAAAGAAGAGTGCTAGCTGCCTTTACCCTGTAATATTATACGATAAATATATAGGTACAGTAAATGTCATAAACAAACGATAAACGTGTCCCAGTATCGACCATTAACTAAGGGAGAAAAAGGACAATTGTAATAACAGAGGAGAAAATAGGACAATGTGTCCAACTGTAGAATTACCAGGCAACGCTGAAGTTTTCCGATATGAAGACATGTATACAAACTGCGCAAACTGAGACATGAATCAGACATAATGAAGATAAGAAATTATTTTAAACTTTTTTATGTATGATGATTGAATGATTCATCAAGATGAAATTTTCCAGTAGTTGGTTAACATATATATTCTTGAAAACTAAAAATTCTGCGCACAATTTCTAAAAGAAATTTATTTTCGTATAAAAAGTGGGTTAGAAGGTGAGTATTACTTTAGATGTCAGAACATTGGTAGTTTACCCTACAATATGAGGGAAAGTGCGAGGAAATTTCTCGCTCACCGGAGACACGTTTCGCATCTCTTGGCAAACGTTTTCCCTTTGTACCGCGCTTATCTCTCGCAACATGTAAATCAAAGAGAGTAAAGTAGAAACTTTTGGGGCATTGTAAACTATTTCAGGACCTGTTTCAAGCTGTCGGATTTATATATAATTAAAGTATAACAACGCTCGACATAAATGTTGTATAAACTTTTGTTTGCTCTTTAAGTCTTGGTGAAGTCTTCTATTTATGTAATTTATGCAGCATAATTAATCTCATTATTTTATCAAATAAGAATTTACTTCAAATAATTTCTCTTGTTTAATATTTTATTATATTTGTTATATTTTTGAACGAAAGTTATGTTACCCTTTTAACAGAGAAAAACAAAATTCGACAGATTGAAAAACAAATGTTGAGACTTTGCTCCAAAACATTGCTATAAAACGTGGGTATTCTGTTTTCTCATGGTTCTTTATAATCCGCTGCACAGCTGGTGTCCGCTATTTGTCTACCTATGGCCCTATACATCTAACGAGGAAAAATTCTTCTTCAGTTGTTCTTACGTTTAGCTACGAATATATCGGTTAAATAAGCATAAAAGTTGTCTTTAGAAATATCAGAAAAATATCAGAATAAAAATTTATATAGAAGGGTGAGTGAAGTTAACACTCGGTCATAAAACATAATGCAATTATATTTTATATCAATATCGTTCAGTTGAAAGTACTTTTGCTATATGAACATTTTTTTTATCATAATTTCCAACATAAAACAAAATAATTGCTTTTTAATAAAAGTGTATGTAATATAACTCTTTCCATTGAAAAAATATCTTTATATAATAGAAAACACTCTATATATGAAATGAATTCGAAATAATACAATACATATTTCGACTTCGATTTGATTCGTACAAACTGCGAAACATCTGAGAAAAGGACAACCGTTGCTCATAAGACTTGTAAATATTTCATAACTTTATTTACGACTGTGTTAGTCGAAAATACTTTGATGCAGTGCAGGAAAATCGATACAACAACGCTTTTCTTGTCTCCAATTCAATAATAACACGAATATATATTGGTACGCTGCGAGACAAATAATAAGATTAACACGCGAAAAAATTGTTGCCGAAACAGAAAATCAAGGAAAATTTTGTTTGTTTTCCAACGTGGAATTAATTCATTCATAAATTAAATTAAATATTATTATATTTAATAGATCTGCTCCGTTGAATAAAGCAAATGGTTGTTCATGTCCAAAGTTTAATGAAATATTTCGTTAAATGAACATTTCTCAAATGCAACAATAAATGTTTCCAATGCAATTGCATTAATAATCACAGAACAGCATGAATAACATTACACGAATATAATAATAACATTTGATTTGTGATAAAAATATAAATAATCTGCACATCGTTGAGGACAGGAAAATGCAATGATGATGAGAAATAATAATCCATGCGGTGCACATAAAAAAAGAATCGTTAAAATAGTATCCTAGCGCAGATACGCAAAAGTAAAAACATATCCCAACGCATATGCATGCGAGAAGGCTTTTGTTACTTTCTATGCGATCACGATGGAACTTTCTTTGTGCGCGTGAAAAGGAAGTTATGTACCGGAGCTCTTTCCGCGTCGTTTTATCTTTTCGCTAAAGAAAAAAAAGAAAAAAAAATGAAATTTAGAATAGTACAAAAAAAGCAAATATAAAGTTCAGTATTTAAATGCTTCAAAATGTGATAAAAAATGCTTCATTCCAGTGCAATTGAAAAATATTTCATTCAAGTGCAATTAATTTGATGCATCAGAAGATAATTGCACAATTAAATACAATATAAGCATTTACAGTATTTTCATATGTTAAATATTTTTCGAATTTAACTTTGAAAATAACTCAATTAATATCATACCTAATTTTTTTTCAAATATAGTCAATTATTTTTTAACAAATAAGGTTGTTCTAAATTTTTTATCTTTTAAACGGAAAGATAAGATCAAATTATTTTTGCAATGCTGAGGGGTTAGAGGATCGTATCACGGAGCACCGTATTTATTCTGGGCATGAAATGCTTGTCCGCAGTTCCATTCCCTTGGCTTGAAATCAAATCCGGTTTACCCTCCTTTCGGGTCGCACAACCCATTGGCTTGGTCACTGTATAGTATTGATAATTCCTGTTGGACAATCTTACGAGGTCTATTGTGAAGGTTCGACGATCGCAGCACAATCGCTGATTCGATCGTCAAGCCTCGCATTGTCGCTTATCATACTGAAAATGGCTACACTCTCTTTTATATTCTAGATAATATATTCCATAGTTATAAAAAACGCAATTTTGAAGGAAATGCGTACCTTTTAAAATAACTAAATACTAATGATAAGATTTTCTCAATTTTGATTATTAGAATAAATTTTACAATACAGATTGCCGAAAGCAATAATTAATTCTTTATCGAACAATTATTTCAAATGTGCACCAGCAAAAGTATATTATTTTCACATACAATTAAAACGCTCTGCTTCCAGAAAATCGAGAAACCGTTCCTCGACGCGGTGGAGCGTACGCTGGAGGACCGATACTCGGAGAACGTGGAGAACATCTACAAGCTAACGATCAAATTCATCATCGAAACGCTGATCGACGGCTTCGACAAGGCACAGAGCGACAAAGCCAAGTCCTAGTTGTCCTAGTCCTGAGGATCCGGCACGCATGCGATCGCCCTCGATCCTGCGAGATATTGACAACCCTTGGTTCGCTCGGGAACCTCCGAAGCCTGGAACGGGAAAAAGCCAGCCGTCGCCGATTCCTCAGAAGACGACGATGGTATCGTCGTCTGTCTTTACGTCGATTTGCGCGGTGTCAATTCGTTTCTCCACGAAACTCCCGAGAAACGCGGATATGCGAGTACGGACGTTCACTGCGGACGTCGCTCGCGCCGGCCTGAGATCTTTTTCCCCCCTCAAACGGGTCTCGCCGTTAAACGTCTCCGGATATTAAAAACGATCCCAAAGTCAATCCATCGGGACTCCTTCACGAAACGCGCCGTGACGTGAGTGAAAGAGCCGCGCTATTTTCCCGACGGTCAAAGGGTTCTTAATAGTTCAACAACTCGACTCAGCAAATTTCAGTTAGTCGAATTTTCGATGTTATAGACAAAAGTGATTTCTACGACGCGGAAATCCAACAAACGTATAAAGACACCTAAAAATTCGGACGTTTTTTTAGATGTCTTTTTGCAGCAACATTTTAACACTTATGTGGTCTAGAAATATCCATTTATAAGAGTAAAAACGACGATTGATGTAAAACATATTCCTAAAGCATCCGCAATTGAACTCTATTGGTTTAAATTTCTTTTTTTTACATAATTTATGGATAATTTTGCAAACGTCAATTATGTCAAATCCAAACTTTCTCCTTGCCTTCATCCTCGTCATCCTTCATCCTTTCCCTACTTTTCATCTTTTCTTTCCTTTCATTTGTTAATTACGGAAAAAGTGGATTAAACTCAAACATAAAATATATTAATAATCGTGAAACCGATCCTTAAACGCTAAACGTAATTTGAAATTTATGTAAAATCTACCGGATAATTGATTGAAATTTTACAAATACATATTAGAAAACGTGGAGAAGAATTATTGGTCTTTTAAGAAATTATTGGTCTTTTAAGAAAACTTTACGTTTCAATTATTTTTATAAAATATCCAGTATATTAAACATAGACAACTCAGATAAAAATAAAAAAAATTCAATAATATAGTGTTTTTTTTTTTATCATATTTGTGCCAAATATGTTAAGTCAAGCTGCAAAAAAAAAACGACATCAAAATTTATTCGATTCTCGTTAAACAAATATATTCTCCAAACAAAATAGATTTCAAAACTGGATTTCACAAATATGTTATTTAATTTTTTAAGTTACCTTCTATGACGTACATTTATAAAACATTTCAATGTAGTTTTATTCTTTTTATTATTCGCAATTTAATTTTCATTCGTCCGTAATGCGCTTTTTCCGATTTCGAAGACAATAGGTTCCGCAGAAGTAAAGCGCGAAATGATGCACGTCGTTATTGATCAGACGCAGAATTAGACGCAGGGAAGGAGAAGGGAGAGCCTTTCGCTCCTACAAGATCTTTTAAAGAGGATTACCTAAACGTAACTTTGATCACAACGATGTGATATTCCTCGCCATGAGAGTAGGATAAATCGAAATGAAGATCCTTATTGCGATACCATTACAAGCAAAGTGAGATTCGACTGGCTCCAGATGCTTGCACGAGTCCATTTTAAGAGTCGATTAAAGCATAAGAACTCTATTAACTCCTCACAAGTGTTATAATATCATCTAGTGTGCACGGATAATGACGACTCTTTCATACGGTTCATCAAGGACCGCGCGCAATTTCCTCCATATAATTAATTACGACTTTATGAGATTAAGCGTGCAAAAAAAGATGTTTCCATTCAGCCTCTTTTCCACGCATTTTGCCATGTCAAAAGCCTTTCATAGATAACGATTTTTCATTTTGCTAAATACATCAAGCTACTTTTACTCGCGCGGGGTGTAAAATACTCTCCGATGCTTTTGATGTTTTATAAATTCAGTAAAATTCAATGAATCAAATAAAAAATTTATATTGTTGCACGTGCTGCAAATTGGTTAACAATGTTTCAATTGGAAATATTCGTATTTAGCCTCATTTTGATAGGAAATGTAAAAGATATTAATCGTTATATATATATTCAATTAAAAAAAAAATAATATCTATTTCTGCAGGCAGAAAAAGGCAAAAAGCATCATTTAATTTTAACCAATGATTATAAAAACGGTCCTATACAACGTATGCTCTCTTTGTAGTGATCAATTCAATTACACTGAGAAGTTTTTTACTTTTTTAAGTCGGGCATCGATGGACTGTCATCAATCAATATATTGTACAAATTGCTACCGTTCAACTATTCCTGATAATCGTATTACTCAATCCTCGCCAAACGGCGAAAGCGGATATTCGAAAATAATCCTGCGAATTTTGCGATTTTGATAATACCGCGATATTTACCAGGGATCTCGCGCCAACAGCATCTGGCAGGCACGAGATACGCTGGCATTTTAGACCCGCATTAAGCCGCGAATATGGGTTCAAATTTACCGGGACCGATTTCATACGCATTTCTGCTTTTCTGCTACGTACGTTCAATAATTGATACAAGCGCGCCGAACAGTCGATAGGCGCCGACTGCTACCTTTATATATCGGCGGGGGGGGGGGGGAGAGCCTTGTGGATTACATAAGTCACGCAGGATACCTTACCGCAATGCGAGACCGAATGCGCCAGAATGCAAATGCGTATTGTCTCGAAACGAGGCCGCGATTTAATCGCAAAAATAGGGCAAAGGCGTTATCTTGCCTTTTTACGAGCATTAAACTCCTGGCGTTCTTTATACACGAAATTTATTTATTTAATGATGTAAAATTTGCCGTGCTCATTGCGAGTATAAAATATCATTGAAAATATTTATGGAAATGTCGGAACGCGTCGATTACAGTAACTTACAGGAGTTCTCCTCGCGCCGCGGTGTGATACATATTTTGACTTCGATCCACATCTGTGGTTATTGACATTTTAATGAAACGTCGCTGAGCCTGACATTTTCATGTTATTTTGTTGATTTAACACATAGAAAGCTGTAACAGTTATCGATGATCGCCGGTTGCACTAACGTGTCTCACTGATTTGCATATAAAATGCGACCGACTATATTTAGAAAGTTGTATGCACTGTTAATAAGAAGCCAATTAAACAAATACATTCATCAAAGATTGATTTACATACTGTATAATTGGACACAAATGCAATTAGTTAGACTTTTGCAAAATCGATCGAAATTTGCAAAGTGACAATATTGTCAAATTTAATCTTAACATTTGTACACAATTTTTTCCGATTCAGTTAAATTAAATTTTTGCTATTACTCGAATAAACAGTGGTGCAAATTTGTGCAAAGTTTAATTACGTAAAAGTTTTCAGAGAGAATATTTTTGAAGAAAATTCCAAATTTTGATAATGATCAAAATTTTATACATTTTCCAGAAATTTTACATATATTTGCTACAAGATATACTTAAGAATGCATACCGATAGATATGTTTGCGAGCTACTTCAAAGCCCCTCCATCTCTGTTTTATAGTAAAACAACATTGTATTAATATAAAAGCATGCGTGACCCGTATTCTTCGCTCGTCCGTCACGACATCGATTATAGCGATCGCAGATGACACATAAACGGAGAGACAAGCGGAAATTATTGATACACTTCAGATCGATTACGAGATTGTCATAGCAAAGGATTGAACTAGATTTTAAATGCCTAACAGAAGAGGATGCTTATTTTCAAATTCTTGGTAATTCCATCAACTTTCTATTTTTAATTTCTTTGCGACTAATGCATTACAAACGGCCAATAATAATCTATTAGATTTAATTTATTATTTTCATTACTACCATTGTTAAATATGCATTCTGTAATTTTTCAATTCTTCGGTACCTTTGAAAAGGAAGATCCGCTTATATTGTGTGCTACGGAAGGACTTCGTAACTTTTCACTTTGTACGTTGCACTTCGCTCCCTTTTTCAACTTTTATTTACATCAAAGTAAAGTAAAAAGCTGCGAAGTTGCTATATATCTGCGCGTTTGATTACTTTTCAGATACGATCAAATGCCTGATTTAGATTTTTGGTGATTCGCGTCGCACCGAGTTCGAGAAAGCGGCAGAACCCTTCGACCGTCAACGGAGAACTTGTATAAATTTTTACTCGTATCGTAAGGCATAGGAAAAAAATGTGGACTCTAGGGTAATGGGCCCTTTGCGCAATGTCAATTTCCTAGGAAGTCTCGGGAAGGCAGAAAAAGCCTCTCCGTCTCTGTATCTTCCTCGCCGTCTTTATCTATCTCTATTTCTCTCTGAGGTCGACTCTCGCTCATATTATTCTCTATGCAAGTCGGTGAAATCGTTACATTCTTCGAAAAAGATCGCAACACGCCCATGCCGACTGCGGGGAACGTGGTTTACAAGGTAACATTCCAAAAATTTGACACGCAAATCAATTTATTAAAAACCGTATACGTGCGTCATATTTTATTTATCATAATTACCGTCAAAAAGCTTTTTTTTGTTTCATAATAATTATCATAACATAATTAAAATGTAAAATTAATTTTATCATTGCAAATCGCATTATCATATTTATTCTAATTAGGCCTAAACAGTTTTGAAAGAAACTTTCTTAGACAAAAAATTGTAATTTAAATAGAAGAAAAATTTTATATGACACTATCAAGACACTTTTTAAAAATTTATGATATTTGAAGATGAGTTACCTAGTAAATATACGTCACATTGCAGGATCATTTTGAACGTCAGACATAGTTTCGTGCAAAAGATAGAAAACTAAGAATAGTGTCCTACTTGTTCTGCAATTTTATCTGCGTGTTCTCCTTTAAACGAGAATGATCATTAATATTTTCGCGGCGTGAGACAAAGACGAGTTGCGTCACGAAGAAGAAAAAATGTGAAATTTCGTTTTCATCTTGATGTTGCATTTAGCAGTTCGCTCTCTATTAGACCGATATATTACGGCTCGTCCTCTCAGTCATTAACTTTATTAACCGTCGAACCACGTATAATCAAACTAACCATCATACACAGGGCAACTTTCTGCGGGACTATAAACGACGTAAATAACGAGCGTGCCGCGAAATCGATTTTCCAGCGAAGACGCGGCACGACACAAAGTTTTTTGCGGTACCACACTTCGAGTACACTAAGCGCTGAAGTCTCGTGTCTGGTGCAAAATGGCAATTTCCATCTTAGACTTAAATTATTATTCACACTCGACACGCGACTCGACAGGAGATTAATATTTAGCGTGCCCGAAATATACTATCGTAAGAAGTCTCTAATAGGGAGGAGTTTTTTCTACGTTGTACTTTAAGTACGTTAAGTATAAACGTTGAACGCTAAATTGCCGTAATTTCATTTGAAACACATCATTCATTTTTATGTTAGTTTAATATTCAAAACACTATTGCAAAAATTCTCTAATAATAGTAAGTTTTTGCAATTCTATATTTTTAATATGACAAACGCGTCAAAATGCCATATTTTTTTTATAAGCGATGAATATTTTTATTTTAGCGTTTAAAGCAAACGTTATTGCTATTGCCAAAGCATTTAACATGATACTTTTGAGAATGCGATCCGGTATGTCACGTTCCACAGTCGTTTTTCGCTCGCCGAAAATGGCAAATCTGCTTCCTCAGAGAGAAAGAGTGCGTGTGTTCAATAGCGAAAAACAGAGAATAAAAAAAAAATCGTGCAAAGGATGCGTTGCACTCAAGCGTCAATCGCGAGTACATTCGTGAAAATCGCAAGTGACTTACACGAATGGTCGCACGCGCACCCGATGTGAACGCACCCTTACTTACCGAGACTAAAATCGATCGACAAATTAGATAAGGTAATAGCGCTTCCGCGGTTCGCGACATTCTTCGTCGTTCAGGTTCGTAAATATCCGTTGTAATTATACTACGCAGGGAGAGAACTAATTTGGCGGACAAAATTGGCAGTTACCTCCGTTCAAGCAAATTTTGAATCAACAAATTATAATTAACGGAATTATTAGTTGATTTAATAATTGTAATTATGCAATTAGCGCAATTGTGCAATTGTGCAATTAGTGCAATAAAATTTACTGATGTATTAACGCGCAATTTGTTCAATTAATGTGATATTTATATGGAGGACAGCATCGTCACATTTATCTCAAGTAATTGTTTCCTCGATACGATTTTTTATTCCTCCAATCCGTTCTTTTTATTCATCGTAAGATATGTACACTGCTAAATAAGTCCATCGGTTAATAATTATTGAATGTATACTTATTTTGCGATCTTATAAAGTAATGCAGTTCATATTTCTTCGAAAACAAGAATGTAATATTGTTAATTATTGTTCATTGGGATTATTCATTATTATACAACGGCTAGTAGACTGACAGATATAAGTGAGTACTATACATTTTAATTATACATATAATTAATGGTTAATATAAAACCATTAACACAATTAAAATTGTTGATTTTATCAAGGGATTGCATTGTCCTATTTAGCCAAGGCTTTTATATATCTCTCTTGATTCTGCTACCAAGTCAAAACCTTCACTCTTTGGAGCTAGTTTTTATTTTTTTTGCACCGTGTTATATCTTACAAATATTATGTAAAATCAACAAAAATTAAAACATTTAAATCGATATGTAAAAAATAATTGTGACGATAATATTATTTTTACTCAACGAAAAGAGATAGATTATCGACATGCTTAAGCAATCATTTAGTGCATTTACCCTTACCGTTGATTTGCATTTCAGTTTTTATTACCGCGATATCAGCGCATATCACATAGTCGTTCAAAACCAGCGACTTCTTTCCGGCGAACCGCGATTGCGCCGCGATAAATGTTGCATGAAATGAATATTAAGAGTCTATATAAAGCCGTCGCCGCACGAGAGGATAGCGGACCACACCGAGCGCCTTTTTCATTCTTTTCTCGCGATGCCAAAATGTAACTTGAGGACTTTGTCAGGCGTCAATTTCCGAAACAAACAGTATCGATCGCTTAAGTATCATATTGAAGCAATCAAGCGATAACTCTCAACGTGAAACAGAAAACAAGTGACAGAAGAGATATAGGATAGAAGAAATTTGATATATAATCAAAGAATAATTGTAAAAAAAATAAATAAATTAGAGTAAGAGTGGACTAAATTCGTAATTTATTAAGTCTATTTTTAAAGTTTTATTTAAAACAGACTTCAGAATTATGATTTTATTCCATTTTTCTCCTAAATTTTTCAAATAATAAAACAAATGATACAAATAATAATAGTCTATTATTATTTCAATATAAAATTAAATACGAAATGCATCAATATTTGAAGTTTTATCGACATTTTTTTCTTACTCTGCTTTTCTGCTTCAAAACTGCCAAGTTCTAGATATAAGTTTACTACGTTTTTTACGACGTATATTTGACAAGAAATATCTATCTTTTGATGAAAACAAATAAAAGAATAATATCACTAAAATTCAAGAAAAATAACTTTCATATTTTTCTTTCTTTGTCTTCTGTCAACAATTTTAAGATCGATTATATATGAATTAGGTGGAGATATTTGTCGATCCGTCAACGTCCTCGAAGGATATTTTGGACACTTTACACTTTATCCCGAAGATTTAAGGGCTACCGAAAAACCGTGCGACACATCACATCTGCACAATCGTCCCGTGTGCGACGGACGCTTAAAACAAAATAAAAGAAAAAAGGAGAATAGAAAAAAAAAAAAAGAAACAATTTCGTACGGAACAAAATGCACAAAACGAGCTGTACCTTCTCTTCTCGCAGAAACTGAAAGACCTATTTAACCGAAAGTCTTCATGGAACGCGCAGGAAGCACACGAGAAATATATATTATTATATAAATATATATGAGATATAATTGCTAGTATATACCTTGCAGTTATGCGAATGTTGCATTGTCTATCTGTTTGTTCCATACAGATCCAGATGTATTATTGTATCCGATGGAGTATTATATATTAAAATATATACTATATATCTATATATCTATATATCTATATATATATATTAAGCGCTCCATTATAGTTCTTCCGCATCCCAGTATACAAGTCCAATAATTTAGATTATTTTTTATTTTTTTTTTTAATGAGGATTATAATTTGTTTCAATCATACTTTGAAAAGCTTGAATTGAATTGAAATAATCGCGGTTGTAGCATCTACTATAGCATGCACTACTGCGTTTGCGCAAAGTATATTCTGTTATTTTCTTATCTGCTTGCTCACAACGTCACAACCACAACATAAATGGCCGCTCATGCGTAGAGCTATCATCGTAAACCGCCAAATAAGTGATAGAATAACATTTCCAGAATTGTTCAAAGAAATTTAAAACCGTCAGCTAGTCAGTGTTGAATTTTGTGTTGGTTCGACGACAAAGTAAGTCACACAGCAAGTATCTATGCAACTCAGAATTTAGATCTGTTTACGATACATATAAAAGAATTCACAAATATGTAATGTGTGTTTCTCGCCGATTTAGAGTAAATTATATATTATTATATATTTTAGAAATTAGAATGTGAAAATTGCAATTAAAATCGTCATTCGATACTATTAAATAATCAAAATAAGTTGATTTAGATTGCCCAAGACATGATAGATTTCATAACCTTAACATATGACATTTTTATTTATTTGACAATATCAAGCGACAATTTTAATTATTACATTCTTATATTACATGAAATACACACGCAGAAAAAATTTTGTTGAAGAAATCGATATTCTGTGCTTTTATTATAAAACAAATTTTTGGAAACTTGGAACTTCAACCATGCTGTTATTTTCATAATAATGCTGTTGTTGGATTGTATGATTTTATTGTGCATTATTAATATATGAATTCTAATTTCCAGTCATATTATTGATACTATTTCCGTATATGATGGATACGATATATACGATGTATACAATAATGAAACATAGATTACATCACTAACGGATCCTGATGTCGATAATAGGGGGGATTTTGACCTGCTTTAATGCATTTTTTATCAAGATTCTTGAAACGGATCCAGCAAAATTGATTTTTTTTGGAAAGGGTGGGTTTTAACCCCAAACCTCCTCCCCCCCCCCCCCCCAGGATCCGCTAGTGGATTACATTATGTGTTCTAAACTTCTTATACTTTTCTTTAAGTATATTAAATATCATATAAGAAACATATATATAAGCAGATAAATTTGTTCACAGTATAAATGCCTAGCGTTAAGGATGAATCTGAAGCAGAAGGGGAAGAAATGTCACATGATAGTAACGAAAGTAATCAGAGCTCTGCATCATGTGACAGTAGCGCTGAACATACTGACAGTGATGATTCTTCAGAAATGGATGAAGATGAGTGTGAGAGGAGACGGAACGAATGTATGGAAAACTTATTAGATTTAGAAAGGCAATTTACTCTTCTTAAGGAACAGTGAGTATATCATATTGTATTGTTTACAATTGTGCAATAATTTAAATGAGCACATTTCTCATTTGAGTTTACTTACATGAAGTATATTATATCAAAATTGCAAGAAATTATTACAGCTATAAAGCTTTTAAAGATTCAAAAAGTTCAATATAAATACACATTTTAATTGGTTGCTGTTTATTTCAGATTGTATCGAGAAAGAATCACGCAAGTTGACACAAAGCTAGGAGAAGTTCGTGTTGGAAAATCTGAAGAATACCTAATACCACTAGAGCGCTTAAAGGAAAACATGAAAACAAAAACGGAAGTAGCTGGTATACTAAAGAATTACAGGTTACAAAATATCCAAAATAAATTCCAAGCAGAAGAACAGGCTGCCTTACAGAATTTTGAAAGTGAAAAAGGTTTAATCTGGGATTACATCCATAATGATCTCCAAGATAAAATTCGTCGTTTAGAGGAAGATAGAAATAATGTGGATATACATGCGGATTTATGGCTCAACACGACTGGCAGAAGACGCAGAAACCACACAGAGAGAAGACGAGCAGTTTCTGTCTCAGGTCCCTATATCGTTTATATGCTCAATGACGCAGATATACTGGAAGATTGGGCATTAATAAAGAAAAGCCTAAGTAGTCGGAAAGCGGAAATTATGTAATTCTTGGGGAGTGTCAAAGAACGGCTGAAAATACTTCCAATATTAATATTATGCGCTCATCTTCAACACGAACAGATTTTGGAAATTATCAATCTTTAGATATATCAGGAAATTGTGTGAAAATGGAAATGAAACTGAGGCATTTCCAGTTCTAGTATTTATTGCGCGTCTGATGTCTGTACAGTGTGCCTTGGAAAGAATAAAATATCAAATTTGCCAAAATGTACTTCTGGTACACTAATACAGAAGACTTATATACACATGACTGTGTTGCCACACAAAAGACCAATTCTTAATTCAGAAAAAAAAATCGTAAAATTGTATATTAGCTTTAATTAATTAAAAAAATTATTATATTATGAACAAAATAATTGCATTAATATATTTTATCAGAAATAATTGATTTCTATATTTGGTATATTTAACGTTTTCTTCTAATTTTCTTCTAATTTTGTATATACTGTCTTGTTTTACGTTTATTTGTTCTTTTCAAATCAAAAAATAGAATAGATTTTTCTATTCTCCTATCTAAATAATTTTATTTTCCTAGAATTATCCAATTGTAAATTATGTCATTGCCTTAATTTTTCTTATCAAGAAAATGTATGAAAATGTTTCTTTTCAAATTGTAAAATATCAATATATATCAACAGATAATAGTATTTGCTTCCATAGATTTTTATTGGCAAAATTAATTTATGCATATTATTTTCAAAAATTACATTTTTACAATAAAAATCCATGGAAGCACTATTATCTGTATACAGTAAGTGTATACAGATAACTATATATATATATATATATTATATATATATATATATA